AAAAGGTGTAAAAATGGTTTTAATGTGCAGAAAATGAATTTTTTTTTTTTTTTTTCCCCCCCCCCCCCCAAATTTGTCACCAAATGACAAAGTTCCCAATGATGGCCAAAAACTGTGTGTAGCAATAAATATTAAAATTGAAGAATATATCACAACACCCAGTTTTGCTTTCCCATGGAATTTAAGGAAGCAGAATCTGGTTTGACAATAACTCCAGCTCTGTCATTCAAAGGTGCTTAGCCTTGACAATTCTGGTTGAGATTTTTAGGGTGTGTGCTGGTCAGACAAGTGGTGGTGCCTGGTCTTGGCTGAACAGAAAATGATTTGAAGTTATGGTGAACACAGCTCGTGCTGCACTGAGGATTCTCTTAACAAAAGGTTGTTAACATTGATCCAAATAAAATAATAATATGACTGAACATGTTAGGGAGGTGGATCAATACAATAGTTTAAGATACAGTGTTAGCACTTGTTTCCCAAGAGACCATAGCACAAAGCAAGTATTAGGGCTCCTACACTGCTAAAAACACAATAATTTAATGTAAACTTGAAAGCAATTCAGAATGAAATAGAGAGAATATTGTTTTTGATTAACCCTTCAGTGCTCTTGTCCTCCTTTGTTAGCCAAACCCACGTACTCAATATACTCTCTTGTCTTCAGTTCCAGCCTGAAGTGAAAATAGCCATTATTCCTGTTATTGTAGCTTAGGTGCAACAGTATTACAGATGCTCACAATAACACACAATCCTGCTTAGATTAACCCTTGTGTCTGTGACCTGATGCAAAACCTGAAGCCAAAGAAAGTTTCTGCACTGAGTTTAATAGCCTTCAGAAAAAGTCACATTAATCTGCACTCAAGAATGGAGGGCAGAAGAATGACCGAGAAAGAGGTTTATTTGTTTGTTTTCCTTAATTTCTTCATTCCTTCTACATGATGTCACCTCAGCTTCACTTCTGCTCAGTTTTCACATCATAGGATAATTCAGGCTGGTAAGGACCTTAAATCTCTGTCCCCACCTCCTTCAAAGTAGTTTGACAGATTGCTTGAGGTTCTCTGCGCTCAGATTTTGAAAATGTCCATGACAGGAGGGAGACTGCACAACCCTTCTGAGTGACCTGTCCCACTGCTAGCCTATCCCCATGGGAAAAATCAGTCCTCAGACTGAGCTTCTCTTGTCTCAGTGTGTGCCTCTGGTCTGTCACCTTCTCACGGCACACCTTGGTAAAGGTGTCAGCTCCATTGTGCTGCTGACATGCTTTGCTGGCTCTGCCATCCCACCTGCAGCCTGGCCAGGTCCAGATCTGTCAGCACTTCCACCAAGTGGAAGCACTTCCAAGTGCTCTGGCCCCTGAGACTCTGGGCAGCCACTGCTGAGCCTGTGCCAGATGGTTGACATCATTCCTTTGGGACACCCAAAACTGCACATAGTATTGTAGATGTGGTGCAATGAGTGCTGGTTAATAGTGGATGCACACATCCCTTGGCAGACTCTTCATGCTTCCCAGGATCCTGCTGACCCTCTCTGTTGTTAGGCACACCACCAGCTAATGTCCTTCTTCCTGTCTGCTTACAAACCCCATCCCTTCTCAGCAGAGCTGCTCCCCAGCCTGGATTTCTTTCCTTCTCGGTGGAAAGGAGGAAGGTCATTCTTTCCTTCTTGGTGTGGGGCTTTGCATTTGGCCTTGCTAAGTTTTCTGCTAAAGTTCCCATCCCTCCAGCCTGCTGGGATGATAGACCAGCCCTCAAGCATGGTGACTGGTCCTTCACACATTTTGGTGTCCTCTGCAAAGCTTATAACCAAGCACTAGGTAACCTGTTCCAGATTGTTGATAGACATGATCAGAGAAAAGACAGCATTCTGAGGTACCCCACTTATTGCTATCTTCCAAGCAGTGTATGACCCACTAACCTTTTAAATGGTAACAAGGTGGATTTGGCTGAAGACAGAAACAATAACTCCACTGTAATGATTCTACATGCTATAACATTTTAAAACATCATAAAGAAGAAGTGAGTGATAGCATCTTACACTTTGGCACAAAGTTTACTGTGCAGTTAACACTCATTGGTTCTCTAGTGAGTCAATGAAGACATTAATGATCAATAAATCACTTATTTGAGATCTTTCAGCAGCAGCAAGGAAAGACAAGAAAATGGCTGCATTAAGCAAAATGACTCCCTTCAAGTGTCTGGTCAGTGAATGATGCTAATAAGCCTGCAAGTAAAGATTTGTACAAAATCATCAGGCATCATAAACCCCAGCTTTATGAGTCATATCTAATTGCTACTGAAAGAGAATCAGCTGAAGTAAAGCAGCTCATGACCCAACATTTTGGACTACCTAACTCTCAGTTTTTTTTGTGCAGTGTATTGTTCCTTCATCACCGAAAGACTCAGAAAAAAACTACATAAAGAAACAAATAATTCAGTTGTCTTGAGGATGGATCTGTTCCACTGAAGGCAATGTAGCAGCCCCCAAAAATCAAGAGAATTCAGTTACCTTAAGTGTAGCTCCAGCTGTGAGTAGAGGAAGTGAACAAATGCCCTTCTTGCCACAATTTCTGCATGGCAGTCGTTGACCGCAAGCCCTTGGTCATTTATGTATTCCCCATTTATACATTTGGTACCCGATGACAGCACAATAACCTGAGCTTGCCTGATGTCCAAACCTGTAGGAAGAAAAACAGAAGTGCTGTGAAATTGCTGGGGGTGAGTATGATACCATGGCTGTTAGAGTCCTGACAGCACACGCTTTGATGTGGCAGCCAGACAGCCCTAATGGGATGCTTGTTAAGGTGATGATATGGCCTTTGGAATATGCAGAAATCTCACATCTTTGTGTTATTAGAATAATAAGGTCTATATTTCAGTCTTGCTTCTAATTCCAAGATAAAAGCTCTCCGTGAAGTTTACTTGTTAAATCAATAACTACATCATAGCAGAGCATATGCTGTAGGGAGGCAATAAAGATCTCCTGCAGTGCTGATAAATGGCCAGGTTTTTATGAGCTGTTGAAGACATTTTCTGATGGGAACACATATTCCGTAAAATATTAGGTTTCATTCCTGTTGCACTCTAAGTACTAAGTAAAATAGAAGTAACTTCTGGGGCTGCTCTTTAAAAATCATGAAGAAAATACCCCAACAGATTTGACTTTCAGTCCAGTTTCCTTTCAGCTTCTCCGAGGGCAGCTACATCAGTGCTCTTTTCAGTGTGGTCTCAGGGATGGAGCATTTATCACTGAGACCAGCTTTGTTCATCTGTTGCCTCTCCACATAATGGTGATGACAATTGAAAGATGTCCCTTACTTGGTCCAGATAGACACTTTCTAGGAATAAATCCTAATTTATTTGGAGTCAGTTGCGAAATGCTTAGAGACTTCAACAGGACCTGGCTTTCACTCTAAAACATAGCACATTCAGCCCTGTGGACAATTTCAAAGTGGAGTTTAGAATGAACTGAGCCCAAAATGAAATTATCTTTTGAAAAACACATCCTGGGTCTCATCTCTCTAAATATCAAAGAAAAAGAGAGCAGCTCCTGGGAAAAAGAACTTTTTTGCCTGATACGTGCTTCCTCTAGAAGTGCCAAAGTAGCCTCTGAGTGTAGGGCTGTGTTTGACACAATGGCTGTGTGTAGGCAAACACCTGTACAGTACAGTACAGGGCTCAGACTGTTGGTGTTGGTGTGGCTGTGCCCAGGTAGTGTCACCTGAAATGCCCTTGATGTCCTGCCTAACATCTGCCTGCTGTCTGGGACGCCCAGGAGCTTCTGCACACTCCCCATGCATCACACATGGAAATTCATCAAGAGGCTCAGTGAAAACACATGCCCATGTTTTGGCAACTAAATCAAGACCTTAAAATGTGACAAGTCAGTGATGAAGACAGGTCTGAGACTGCAAATACCCATAGGAGGAATAGGCAAATACCCAAGGAAACAATCTTCCTGTGGGCCGTGGTGATGCTGTTTCTCTGGTATTACTTTAGCTTTAGAAAAGCTTTAGGAATAATTTTACAGAGTCAGCAAAAATATTTTTTTCCTCTTACGAGGTCTATCGAATAGCAGAAAAATGGAAAAATTGTAGAGATTTTTTTGGTTTGGCATGTCTGGGGCCATGTTTCCTTATAAAATCTACTGGTGTTAAAGGACAAAAGAGCTGAATGGAGAAGGAAATAATATTTTAAACAAAAGGATTGATGCTGCCAATGATTTCCCAGTTAATAAATACCATCAACAGCCCTTCATAATCTCCACACAGCACTGTGACTAGTAGTGGATGATGTGCCGTAGCATTGTTGCCATGCTTAATGAATATAATTGCAAATGATATCAAAATTATTTCATGCCTATATCAATACAAAAGCTACATCAGTAATTGAAAGTTTTAGTAGTGATGTGGCATTGCAGCATTGTGGCATTTGTAGGAGAGGTGTAAGTATTGTGAAAAATTCAGTTAATCACATCTGAGCCCCTGGTTGTGAGAGTCTCATACAGAAATTGTTACAGGTACTAGTGACAAAGTACACATCACTGTATGCCTCTGCTGAGAGTTTAATCTCTATTTGTTACTATAGATGTGGCCCTAAAAAAGTGTTTTGGAGTATTTATTGGGGAGGAAAAAAAAGAGCTGAAAACCCAAGAAGTGAAGATGAGAGAAATGGAGAGAAGAAAAAGTCTTTGTTTATTCTGGTTTTTTTACTAGGTAAAAAGTTGAGGTGGAAAAATTACTCCTTGCCTACAAAGAAAAGTGCTTATAGTCTGTACATTAAAATTGCTTTGCTTTAGGGTCACTGCTTTTATGAGAAAAATAATAGGTATCTTAGATAGTGACATGTCCATCTAGTTAACAGTGTCTTTCACATGGACTAACATCAAACATTTCATGGACCACTGCCTGCCACTGAGGTGTTTGAGTCCCACTCAGCATCTCAAAAAGCAGTGTATATTTTCTTCAACAGTATGTAATATCTTCCTTGGGTGCAAGGTCCATGAAAAGAATCAGTTATTTTTTTGTTCTATGTTATTTATTTACTGCTGTAGATAGAGCCTTATTTACCTCAGCACAGCAGGAGAACACCGAGAGGCAATTCCCTCCTACAGAAACTCGTGAGCCTCTCTGTCTGCCCCTGAGGACCTCTGTCAATACTGCTTCTCAGGGCAGTGAGACCAACTGCTTCCTTCTCCTGACATTAGCATGCCCCTGGTGTGCCTCCTCCTCTCCCCCTTCACCTCGTGCTCAAAGCACCAGGTTCTGAAAATACAGAGCAAGCCACCTGGGTAAGCCCTCCTGCTCTGGGATCTACACCTTCCTCATCCCCCAATCAGCCCAGTACACAGTGTGATGTCTTTTATTTTTTCAATCATTTTATCCACAAGTAAACTTAACTCTTTTTCTCCTCTCAGATGAGGGTAAGCTGGTGAATGCCCTCAGAATTTTCTGTAAGGTCTGGATTTATTCACAAATGAATGAAACAGAAAGGCACCCAACACCTGTCAGGTGCAGCAATGAATCCCTCTGATGCTGTTTGCTATCACAATGTCCACCTGCACAGCAATAGCCAGTGTTCTTGGGGTGCTCATGTTTGGGTGAATTAACCCAATTAATGTTGGTTTTCGGTGATAAGGGGCCCCAATAGGTAGCTGTGTGTGGACACAGCCAGGGTGTTTGCCAGTCCTGGCAAGGTTCATGTGCTTGCAGAACATCACTTAGATGCTGCCTGGGGCTGGGAGGCAATGGCTTCCAAGAATTTGCAGAAGCAGTCTGTGTTAAACATTAAAGATCTCCATGTATTTTCCATTTGCAGAAAATAATCCATGCTCTTCTATGCTCAGAAATACCCAAGAGATATGTCTCACTGTTGTGGCACTTGGAAACCCAGGTGTACATGACTTATGCATTAGCTCTGAAATATTTACACCTCACTGGGGAGCCAAATGGAGAAAGTGATCTGTGACCAACGTAGCACTGCTCAGTGCTGCCTGTGAGGGCACCCAGCATGATGAGAAATACTTCCAACAACCTGACACTTGTCCGCTGTGTTCAGGAGCATACATGCTAACAGGCTGTCCTCTTGCATGCCTTGTTTGGTACATACACAGAGTTGGAGGTTTGTCCCCTGTGTAATGTTTGATACTATTGCCAGTGAACATGGGAGGAATTCTTCTATGAAAGCAGGACATGATGCCTAGCTGATGAAGGCAGACTTTAGCATTGACTAATCACACTGGCATTTTAGGCAGCATTTCCAGCTCTGGAGCCTAGATATTTGCTTCAGTGATTCAGAATTAATAGGCACTTCTTTACATTTGTCTATTTTTCATTAAAACCAGTAATTACTAACTCTTGTTATCAATGTTTACTTCCTATTTTATTTTGCTTGCAGAATACTTCAAATTTCTCAAGTCATTTCTATTTATGAAAGTCGAGCTCCCTCATAAACATTGATTAATTGAACCTCAGACAGGCAGCAGATCCAGACTGTGCATATCCTCAAGCCATGCCTGGGAAAGCTATGGCTTTGTGAGTGGCAGAATCCTACATGAACAGCAACTGGCACCACCAGCCTTGTGGAACCTACCCTGCTCAGGGCTGTACAGAAGGGTTTGACCCAGGACAAAGATTGCTCCCCACAAGACTCATGTTCTTACTGAGGGGAGTCAATCTCAGGTGAAGGATCTAGGGATGCAACTGCATTCAGGTTATTTGACAAACAAGGAGAAATGGGCTGCATTACTGTGACCTTAACTCCTGACCCGCTGGTTGTCAGAGCTCATGAGGCATTTCCTACCCTCGCTGCCTTCTGCAAAGTAATGTTTGAGGAGACATTAGGTTAAAAGTAACTCGTGAATGAGCTATAACAGGCACCTGCATTACGTTTCTATTATTTGCCTAAAGACTTCTAATAGTTTTCAATTTGAAAAGGAAATGGAGCAGGGGAGAGGAAATTGGGAAGCTGTGTCAGCAAAGCGGCTGTGTCCTGTCTAACATGCTATTGCTGGGACAGCTGAGAGAGCAGGGAGGGAATTCACTACAATTTATCTTGACAAATTCTGTCAATTAATTAATTGCATTTTAAAACAAAAATGTACACATAAATGGCACACTGCCTTGATCACAGATTCAATCTAATGATCCAGTGAGGTAACAATCCTTTCTGGTGCTCTGCTGAAAGCCTGAGCCCATCCTGGGTCTAGAGGCAGGAACTCCTCTCACAGCCAGGCAGGGGGAACCTCGAATCCCCCATGTTCATTTTTTGTCTGTCAGTGATAGTGCAGACTTTCATGTCATAGCTGAGCTGTTGAAAAGAAACTGGGTTTTATTATAAGCCATTTCCAGTTTGCTGACAACAGCAGGGAATTCATTTCAGCTGTTCTGGATAACCAGAGTTTAGACGTCTGAGGCTGAGCTAATTGCTGTAGACTCTCTTTATAGTCAAAGGAGAGGAATTTTCCTAGGAAGTGATTCATCTGGCCTAGTTTAGATATTTTCTTTTTGATAGTCTACACTACATCTCAGTATTGCCAGCTTTTCTTATGAACTCTGAAGACCTATAGACAGCCAGAAGAAGTAAACCTGTGGAGATATGCTCTTAGTAAGATTTCTTTTCCTAGCAGCAAAATACTGATCAAAACTCCCAAAATAATAAGAGGACAAGAAATCCAGGG